TTACACCACGGTGTCGTCAAAGCGCGCAGCGAAGCGCGCCGCGAAAAACCGTTCGCCCCTCGCCGAAGCGGCCCGTGCCGCTCCCCCCACCCCCGCAGCCCCCGCCGCTGCCGCGTCTACCTCCGCAGCCCCCGCCGCTGCCTCGACCCCCTTAGATATTGCAGCGCCGTCGAAGCCGGCTTCACGTTGCGCTCCGCAACTCGCGAAAAAACCAGTTCCGCCCCCTGTCTTTTTGAGAGACAAGGCCGAGTTCACTAGACTGAGCAAGGTATGCTACGACTCCGGAATTAAATATGACATAGCTACGAACATGGGCGTAGCGATAAAAATAGTTCCCCAATCTATTGACGATTTTCGCCGACTCACTAGGCTTTTTACTAACGAACGAGTATCGTACCATACATACGCTCTTCCGGAAGAGCGTAAAGTCAAGGCCGTCATCCGAGGCGTCCCGTTCGAACTCTCCAACGAGGAGATTCTTGATGACCTTAAGTCACAAGGATTCCCCGTCGAAGCTGTTCATAAAATGCACAGTAGGACCGGGTTGAGATACCCGATAATCTTAGCTATCTTAACCAACGTTCCGGAGGCGCAAACCATCTTCCGGCAAGTACGCACGGTGTGCGGCTTGTCGGGAGTTAGGGTTGAGTCACCGCATAGGCGCGGTTTCCCGGCGCAGTGCCACCGCTGCCAACTATATGGTCACGCGGCGGCCAATTGCTCCGCCCCACCCAGGTGCGTTAAGTGCCTAGATCCACACATCACCAAAGAGTGTCCTCGGCCTAAAGATGCCGTATCCCCGCCCGCGTGCGTCCTGTGTCAACAGACAGGCCACCCGGCGAGCTACAGAGGATGCCCGTGCGCTCCTCGTCCGCGCATAGCAAGACAGGCACCACCGCCGGTAAATGACCGTTCATTCCCGGCCTTATATGTTAGGAAGCCCCGTCAGGGCGCATCTCAGCCGTCTCAGGGCTTTGCACGACCCCCTCAGGGTCCCCCGAGACCACCGCAGGCACCGCTTAGGCCACCGCAGGCACCGCTTAGGCCACCACCAGGCTTCTCAAAGCCTATGCAGGCTCCAGTTTTTGCCTGGGGCCCCAAAAAGGTAGATCCACCGCCACAGGTATTTTCTGCTCCGCAGCAGAAACAGTCGACAATTGGCGATGACTTTAACACGGTTTACGCCGCGATAAGGAACATCGACATTAACGAAATCTCGGTTTTAGCGAGTAAACTGCGCGCCGCCCGGTCCCCTCAGGACCGGCTTTTGGCTCTCGCAGAACACAGTAATTTATTGCGTTCGTTGTAAGCTAAGTTAACTTAATTAACTTAGCTTATAATGACAGAGCCTTCTGCTCTGCCTAGAAGTCACGGTCGTATCAAGCCCAAAGGGCTATCGCTTATTTCATTTAATATTCGCGGATTGCGTAATAATCTCCCAGAGCTTAAGCTCTTCCTTAAAGATCGCGAAGCTGATTTTCTCCTCTTACAGGAAACCAATCTTAAACACACAGACAATAAAGGCTTATCCATTAAAAATTATTCTCTTCTTCGTAATGATAGGCACGACCGCCGAGGTGGCGGCACGGCCATTTATTACAAGAAGACACTACATTGCTCTCTTATTGATACTCCACAGCTTACCAATATGGAAGCTACGTTATGCAGGATATCTATGACGGGACATCAGTCTTTAGTCATAGCCTCCTGTTACATTCCCCCTAAAAACCTCCCCCTCAAAGATGATTTTGAGGCAATCTTATCTCAAAGTAATTCAGTCATTATGTTTGGAGATTTCAACTCTAAACATACTGAATGGACATGCCGTACGATTAATACTAATGGTAGGATACTGCGTGATATAACGCAGTCTCTTGACTTAACCGTTTTCAGCCCGCTCGGTGCAACGCACTATCCCGATAATACCGATTATAACCCAGATGTACTAGATTTTGCGTTACTCAAAGGAGTTTCACTCAACCTCAGGTCTATTGAGACACTAGACGATATAGGATCCGATCACCGACCGGTCTCTCTTATTCTTGGCCATCAGCCACCCCCTATTATAACTACGAAAACCTTCACTAACTGGAAGGGTTTCAAGGACTCACTAGCAAAAGCTATGGACTCGCAGGACTCCCCTAATTACCTATCGTCGGACTTAGACTTAGACAGTCCTGTAAAAATCGACACCGCGGTCGAATCACTTTCAACCCTAATTAAATCCTCCCTTAAGGAGAATGAAAGGGTCGTTCCGGTTGCTAATACTAATGGGCTTCCCCTATATATTAGCAACATATTAAAAGCTAAAAAAGCTGCTTTCCGGAGAGCAGCTAAATATCCCACCCCCGAATATAGGCATACGGCTAATCGTCTTCAACGAAAACTCCGTTCGCACCTTTATGAATTTCGAGAGCTCCAAAGGAGTGAACTCATGGAGAATATATCTCCCTCACATACAGCGTACTATCAGATGGCTAGATCCCTCCGTATAGACGCTACAACTCACACTCCCCCTCTCTCCCGCCCCGACGGTACGGTTGCCTTCGAGGACGACGAGAAGGCTGAGTGCTTTGCAGACAGCATTGCCGCACAATGCTCTCCTAGCTCTCAACCTGTCGACCCCTCACATATTCAGGAAGTGGAGGATGAGGTCCGCCGCCGGAACTCACCCCCCACAACCTCTGACCCTATCACTGTGTCCAATGATGAGATCTCGTCCCTCATCAAAGGACTTAAGCCCAAAAAATCTCCGGGCGCGGATGGCATATCCAACCAAGCCCTTAAATACTTTCCAGAGCAGGTGTTAACCCTCTTAGCTATTATCTTTAACGCCTGTTTTAATCTTAGTTACTTTCCCACTTCTTGGAAAGAGGCAATTGTCATTGGTATTCCCAAGCCAGGCAAGCCTCTTAACCTCCCCTCCAGTCATCGTCCCATTAGCCTCCTAAAGGCCATGGGCAAACTCTTTGAAAGAGTCATTCAAAATCGAATGAGGCGCCATCTGTTTCCCACAGACGGTGACCCCATTGTCATCCCACACCAATTTGGTTTCCGCGCAAAACACTCGTGTCCACAACAGGTACACCGCATTGTGGAATATATCCTCAGCGGTTTTTATCCACGTCGACTAAAGACAATCGCGGTCTTTTTCGACATTGCCAAAGCCTTCGACCGAGTCTGGCATGAAGGCCTTATTTTCAAATTATATAGGATAGGACTCTCCGATCGTCTAGTACGTCTCGTAGCCTCTTATTTACAACATCGTACCTTTCGTTTTAGACACGAAGGCACGTTATCCTCTCAGCGCCCCATTAAAGCTGGTGTTCCTCAAGGATCAGTACTAGCTCCCCTCCTGTACATCTTGTACACCAACGACATTCCTATCCCGTCGAATGGTGTACAGCTCTCACTCTTCGCAGATGACACTGCACTATACTTCAAAAGTCCTAGAATATCTTCAGCAAGGAACAAGATCCAAAAGTCAGTCGATGACCTAGGAGACTGGTTCCAAAAATGGCGTATCGATGTGAACCCGGAGAAGAGCTCCGCAGTTCAATTCGATATTAAAAGACGCCGTAATAAAAACAAGAAAAATACTCCACCTATACGAATGCTAGGGACCCCTGTCCCATGGCACATGTCAGCAAAATATTTAGGCGTCACCCTTGACTATAGGCTTACTTTTGAGTCTCATGTCAAAAGAGTAACGCGTCTAGCACGTTTCTATTTAGGTCGGCTTAACAGTATGTTAGGCAGACATAGCAAAATGTCATTGCGAAATAAGCGAACCCTCTATATGGTTTGTATACGACCGGTTATGACTTACTCGGCTCCTATTTTTGCACACGCTAACGATAAAATTATTAACGAACTCCAAGTAGTTCAAAACCTCTTCTGTCGTCGAGCTACGAACGCACCTTGGTACGTCCGTAATGCCGACCTTCACCGGGATTTAGAAATCCCAACAATCCAGCAATGTCTTAAAAAATTCTCTGAAAACTTCTTTAAAGTATCAGAGTCGCATACTAACACACTTATTCGTGAGGCAGTTACTTATACCGCCCCACTCCCTTCTCGCTATAGCGTCCGCAGGCCGAGAAACACTCTCTTGGACCCGCCAAATAAGTTGTCAAACGACCTGAACTGCCTCCTGGCGGCTCAGGCCAATCCTAATTAAATTAAAAATTAGTTAAAATTAATAATATGCCTTCGTAGGCAGTCCCTAAACGGCACTTAGCCGTCTGCGCCCTCTTTTCCCAAAAGAGGGTCGCTTTAGATACGGCATATGCAGCTTTAATAGAGCTAGTTGCCAGTCCCCAAAGGCGGTTTTTAGTGGGTATCACTTAGGTCCCCCGGTAGGCAGTGAGTCCCACATAACCAGGACAGACCGGCTGTCGTGGTATGCATAATGCATTTTCCGCCTCCCTCAGTGGTAGCCCTTTTCCAATTGCTTCGGGCGCAAAAAAAAAAAAAAAAAAAAGTATTTATATATGTTTCTCTTAAAAAAAAAAAAAAAATATTTTTTTTTTTTTTTTTTTTTTTACCTTTTAGTCTATTGATTATTATTAATTCATAATAAATATGGCTTTCGTCTTATCGTTACCATTACCAATAGAAAGTAATAGCGTACAAAAAGGAATAAGGTATAGTATAGGAGGAACTGAGGAAAGAGGCTTTAAAGAACGTTCGCATTCTAAGAGACTAAATTTATAAATTATCGATAGTATTTGTGGCCCTCAAAAGGGCCTTTTAATCACGTACCAACCACCACGAACGGTAGATAACAATAGAGCAGTAGAGACACGAGTCGACGGACGGCGAATGCACCATTATTATACTAAAGAGCGTAAAACAGAATATGCAATACGTATATAGTACAATTAGGGCATTACCGATCGATAAAACGTCGACGCATACTCTCGTCTAAAGTTCTCAACCATTTTCTTGGGCCTAGTGGTGTGGTGTAGTAATGCGACGGGAGTAGTGTACACACTCGTTTAGGCCTTCTTCTCGGTCTTCTTGGGAAGAAGGACCGCCTGAATGTTGGGTAGTACACCGCCCTGGGCGATCGTCACACCGGAGAGGAGCTTGTTCAACTCTTCATCGTTGCGGATGGCAAGCTGAAGATGTCTCGGTATGATTCTGGTCTTCTTATTGTCCCGAGCAGCGTTACCGGCCAACTCTAGAACTTCAGCGGCGAGGTACTCCATGACTGCGGCCAGGTACACCGGAGCGCCGGCACCCACACGCTCTGCATAATTTCCCTTTCGCAGCAGCCTGTGAATACGTCCAACGGGGAATTGTAGACCGGCACGATTCGAACGGGACTTTGCCTTTCCCTTCACTTTACCGCCTTTACCACGTCCAGACATTGTCGTTAATACGTAATAATAAAATTCTAGAAATGTAGAAAATTAAACACTCGTCTCTATATAGACGACGTCAACACCGATATAAACTAATTTTTTTAAACTTTTTTTTTTTTTTTTTTTTTTAGCGCCCGAAGCAATTTGGAAAAGGGCTACCCTTTACGGGAGGCGGAAAATGCATTACGCATACCACGATGGCTATCCATCGTGGTTATGTGGGACTCACAGCCTACCGGGGGGACCTAAGTGATACCCACTAAAAACCGCCTTTGGGGACTGGCAACTAGCTGTTGAAAGCTTCACATGCCGTATCGTAAAGCGACCCTCTTTTGGGGAAAGAGGGCGCAGACGGCTAAGTGCCGTTTAGGGACTGCCTACGAAGGCATATTTATTTTAAATAATTTTTAATTTAATTAGAATTGGCCTGAGCCGCCAAAAGGCAGTTCAGGTCACTTGAGAGTTTATTTGGCTGGTCCGAGAGAGTATTTCTCGACCTGCGGATGCTATGGCAAGAGGGGAGTGGGGCGGTATAAGTTACTGCCTCACGAATTAATGAGTTGTTGTGCGACTCTGAAACTTTAAAAAAGTTTTCAGAGAGAGTTTTAGTGTATTGTTGAATTGTTGGGATTTCTAAATCCCGGTGAAGATCGGCATTACGGACGTACCAAGGTGCGTTCGTAGCTCGACGACAGAATAAGTTTTGAACTACTTGTAGTTCGTTAATTATTTTATTATCGGCTTGTGCAAATACCGGGGCCGCGTAAGTCATTACGGGACGTATACAAACCTTATAAAGTGTTCGCTTATTTCTTAAAGACATTTTACTATGTCGGCCTAACATGCTATTTAACCTACCTAGGTAAAAGCGAGCTAATTGTGTTACTCTTTTGACATGAGGCTCGAAAGTGAGCCTATAGTCAAGGGTGACACCTAGATATTTAGTTGACGTATGCCACGGGACAGGAGTCCTTAACATGCGTATCTGAGGAATATTTTTATTGATTTTATGACGGCGTCGTTTAAAGTCGAATTGAACCGCGGAGCTCTTCTCCGGGTTCACATCGATGCGCCATTTTTGGAACCAATCTCCTAGGTCATCGACTGACTTTTGGAGTTTGTTTCTAGCGTGAGATGATAATCTACTTTTAAAGTAGAGTGCAGTGTCATCTGCGAAGAGTGATAGTTGTACACCGTTCGACGGGATTGGAACGTCGTTGGTGTACAAGATGTACAGGAGGGGAGCTAGTACCGATCCCTGAGGAACACCAGCTTTAATGGGGCGCGGAGGGGATAACGTGCCTTCGTATCTAAAACGAAAGGTACGATGTTGTAAATAAGAGGCCACGAGACGTACTAGACGATCGGAGAGTCCTATTTTATATAATTTAAATATGAGGCCTTCGTGCCAGACTCGGTCGAAGGCTTTGGCAATGTCGAAAAAGACAGCGATTGTCTTTTCTCGACGTGGATAAAGACCGCTGAGGACATATTCCACAATGCGGTGAACTTGTTGGGGGCAGGAGTGTTTCGCTCGGAAACCGAATTGGTGGGGAATGATAAGAGGGTCACCGTCTGTGGGAAACAGATGGCGCCTCATTCGACTTTGAATTACTCTTTCAAAGAGTTTGCCCATGGCCTTTAGGAGGCTAATGGGACGATGATTGGAGGGGAGGTTTAGAGGCTTGCCTGGCTTGGGAATACCAATAACAATTGCCTCTTTCCACGTAGTGGGAAAATAGCTAAGATTAAAGCAGGCGTTAAATATAATAGATAAGAGGGTTAACACCTGCTCTGGAAAGTGTTTAAGGGCTTGGTTGGATATGCCATCCGCGCCCGGAGCCTTTTTGGGCTTAAGACCTTTGATGAGGGATGAGATCTCATCATTGGACACTGTGATAGGGTCAGAGGTTATGGGGGGTGAGTTCCGGCGACGGACCTCATCCTCCACTTCCTGAATATGTGAGGGGTCGACAGGTTGAGTGCTAGGAGAGCATTGTGCGGCAATACTATCTGCAAAGCACTCAGCCTTTTCATCGTCCTCGAAGGCAACCGTACCGTCGGGGCGAGAGAGAGGAGGAATGTGATTTGTAGCGTCTATACGGAGGGCTCTAGCCATCCTATAGTACGCTGTATGGGAGGGAGATATATTCTCCATGAGTTCACTCCTTTGGAGGTCTCGAAATTCAGCAAGGCATAAGCGGAGTTTTCGTTGAAGACGATTAGCCGTATGCCTATATTCGGGGGTGGGATATTTGGCTGCTCTCCGAAAAGCAGCTTTTTTAGCTTTTAATATGTTGCTAATATGTAGGGGAAGCCCACTATTATTAGCAACCGGGACGACCCTTTCATTCTCCTTAAGGGAGGATTTAATAAGGGTTGAAAGTGAATCGACCGCGGTGTCGATTTTTTCAGGACTGTCTAAGTCTAAATCCGACGATAGGTAATTAGGGGAGTCCTGCGAGTCCATAGCTTTTGCTAGGGAGTCCTTGAAACCCTTCCAGTTAGTGAAAGTTTTCGTATTTATAATAGGGGGTGGCTGATGGCCAAGAATAAGGGAGACCGGTCGGTGATCGGATCCTATATCGTCTAGTGTCTCAATTGACCTGAGGTTGAGTGAAACTCCTTTGAGTAACGCAAAATCTAGTATGTCTGGATTGTAATCGGTAGCATCGGGATAGTGCGTTGCACCGAGAGGACTATGTACTGTAAGGTCAAGATCCTGCGTGATATTAAGCAGTGTCCTGCCACTACGATTGATTTTACGGCATGTCCATTCAGTATGCTTAGAGTTAAAATCTCCAAACATAATGACTGAATTGCCTAGAGACAAGATGGCCTCAAAATCATCTTTGAGGGGGAGGTTCCTAGGTGGAATGTAACAGGAGGCTATGACTAAAGACTGATGTCCCGTCATAGCTAACCTGCATATCGTTGCTTCCATATTGGTAAGCTGCGGCGTATCAATATGAGAGCAATGTAGTGTTTTCTTGTAATAAATGGCCGTACCGCCGCCTCGGCGATCGGGCCTATCATTACGTAAAATAGAATAATTATTAATCGTAAGGCCTACCGTATCCCTAGATTTTAATAATGTTTCCTGTAAGAGGACGATATCGGCTTCGCGATCTCGAATAAAGAGCCTAAGCTCTGGGAGGTTATTTCGCAATCCGCGAATGTTAAATGAAATAAGCGATAAACCTTTAGGCTTGATACGTCCGTGATTTATAGGCAGAGCAGAGGGCTCTGTCTCTGTCATTGTAAGTTAAGCTAATTAAGTTACTTAACTTACAACGAACGCAATAAATTATTGTGCTCTACTAGAGCCAAAAGTCGGTCCTGCGGTGACCTCGCAGCACGCAATTTGCTTGCTAAAATTGTTATTTCATTAATGTCGACGTTCTTTAACACGGCGTAAACCGTGTTTAAGTCGTCGGCTATTGAAGGCTGCTTCTGCTGCTCAGCAGGGGCAGCTTTTTGTGGATTAGCCTTTTTAGGGCCCCAGGGAAAAACTGGAGCCTGCATAGGCTTAGAAAAGCCGGGAGGTGGCCTAAGCGGCGCCTGCGGTTGTCTTTGGGGACCCTGAGGGGGTCGCGCGAAGCCCTGAGACGGCTGTGCTGCTACGCCCTGACGGGGCTTCCTAGCGTACAATGCCGGAAATGAACGGTCATTTACCGGCGGCGGAACCTGTCTGGGTGCGGGAATACGGGGGCGAGGAGCGCACGGGCATCCTCTGTAGCTCGCCGGGTGTCCTGTCTGCTGGCACAGGACACACGCGGGCGGTGAAACGGCATCTTTCGGCCGGGGACACTCCTTAGTGAGGTGGGAGTCCAGGCACTTAACGCACCTGGGAGGGGCGGAGCAATTGGCCGCCGCGTGTCCGTACAACTGACAGCGGTGGCACTGCGCCGGGAAACCGCGCCTATGCGGTGGCTCGACTTTCACTCCAGACAAGCCGCACACTGTACGCACTTGCCGGAAGATATTTCGAGCCTCCGGTACGTTTGATAGAATCACAAGTACTAACGAGTACCTGATTCCTGTCCTACTGTGCATCTTGTGCACGGCCTCCACGGGAAATCCTTGTGCCTTTAGGTCAGCAAGAATCTCCTCGTTGGAGAGTTCATACGGGACGCCTCGGATGACGGCCCTGACTTTGCGCTCTTCCGGAAGAGCATAGGTGTGATACGACACACCTTCGCTAGAAAATAGCTTTGTAATTCGACGAAAATCGTCTAATGAATTTGGTAGAATTTTAATTGCTACGCCGACGTTCGTAGCTAAGTCGTATTTAATTTTTGCGTCGTAGCACACCTTGCTAAGACGCGTGAATTCAGCCTTGTCTCTAAGAAAGACAGGCGGTGGAACTTGTTTTTTCGCGAGCTTAGGCGCGCAACGCGAGGCCGGTTTGTTTGAAGCCGTTACGTCTAACGGCGACAGAGGGGTAGGGGCAGCGGCGGGGGCTGCGGAGGTAGACGCGGCAGCGGCGGGGGCTGCGGGGCTAGGGGGAGCGGCACGGGCCGCAACGGTTACGGGCGAACGGTTTTTCGCTGCGCGCTTCGATGCGCGCTTTGAAGACACCGTTTTGTATGAATCTGCCGAGTCGGCACTGGTGTCATCGGAGTCCGATGTCTCCGATGTCCTGGTGCTGTTTCTAGATGAATTCGCGGACCTCTTCCGGGAGGCAGACGATGAAGTTGTAGATGCTGAGTCGGAATGTAAGCATTCCATCTCAGCATCCAGCATTGCGAAGGAGTTCTGGGACTCCAGGCGAGCCGCCAACACTGGCGGCGGGAATATTGCCTTAAGGGCAGGGGCAGGATTTGCCAGACAGGCTAGTGCGGCTGCGAGCGCCTGCGGATCTTCCATCATATTGATGGCCTCTATCAACGAAGATTTTAAGTCCTGAGT